TGTAATATTTCTCATAAAAAACATAGAAAATATCATGTTCTTTTAATTTAAAGCTTCCTTATTAAAATCAAAATAGCTACCAAAAATCTCAAAGCCTTTTTGGTCCTTAGCCTCAGGGGATATGAAAACAGAGGAGAAGTAGAAAATGAGCCATACTTTGAACCTATGGTTAATATTTCCCGAACGTATTTTGTCATTGCCATAAAATACTGGAGTCAATTTTTAAAAATATCCTAAAGAAATACATTACCTTTGAACTAATGCTAAAGAAACTCCTACAATAGTATCTTTTTACAAATGACCTTTCTATTGACCTTGAAAATCTAAGAACTATTTTAATTAAAACTATGTTTTTAGGGCGGTCTTTTTCTAGAAATAAGATTTTTGGTTATTTTTATATGCCTGCATATGCACATGTGTGTATTTGTGTGCATGTGTGTGTCTATGGAAATGTTGGTATTTATACTTTCCTGCAAGTCACATATTTCTGAGCCTTGGTAAGTTAGATTGAGTGAACGTTTTTATCCCATTCATTTGACATATTTTTAGTGAAGATGTTTGGTTTTTGTCCTTTTGTTACTGCTATTAAAGTTTCAAGGAATAGTAACATCTCATTTTCAAATTAATATAATTATGAACATTTCAAATTTGTAAAATAATTGGTTCTTTAAATATTTTTTTTCTCCTATTACAGAACTGGATTTAGTTCCAAGTTAATATTATTATAGGTGTTTTCAAAATAACAGCAGAAATAAAATTACCAACTTTTAAAATTCGTCAGTACATTTGGCTCTGTTTTCCGAATCTGGGAGTATGTCAACGCTTAGCACTGGTATGAGGGAAGGCTCCCTGCAATTTCTACACCAGTCTATTTCAATTTAAGGTCAACCTTGGAGTTGGGACCCCAGAAAAAAATTAGAAGTAAGATGACTTGATAAATTTCCTTTTATATATATATATATATACACATGTATATATATATTTTTTTTTTTGAGAGAGTTTTGCTATAGGGCACATGTGCTCACCAGAGAGCTAGAGAGAGTCAGAGAGACAGAAAGCGAGATCTCACCCCTACCCCCCAGGGGTAATGGCCATACTGCAATCTCTTCTCTTCCATTTTCCTCTTGGGATTTTGAGCACACACGCACATGCACTCTGCATGAGTTTAAGATGCTGAGTCCGGGACTCGAATGATGGTCAACTATGACATAACCATTACGTGAACTGTGGTCAACTACGACATAACCACTACTCCATCTGCTGGTCCCTCATTTACAATTTACAGAATGAAATCCTTTTGTGTTGAGCCTAGGTTGGTCCTTATCACAAATACTATATAGTGGCTTGGTAGCAAAATTTTAGTTGACCTTTATTCAAATTGCTCACACATGTCAGTGCTATGAGAGGCTGGACTGAGGAGGAGTTGGAGATGTGAAAGGACTAGAAGAGGAGTTCATGTGCTATATCCCATTCTTGAAATAAAGTGGGCCAGTCTCTTCCAAGAGGAAAAAAATACACAGTGCCACCCATAGCTCTACATGTACTTCCCCTATGGAGGTTTGCCAAGGTCAATTTCATTGAATTCCTGGCTTAAAATATTTTGTGTTATATCTGCGGTCAGAATCATTAGTTAACAAGTGAGTTCATTAGGTGAAAAAGAACTGACTCTGTCTCTGTTACCCTGGAGATAGTTTAAAATTGTGGTATGTGGGGGCCAGCAGGTAGTATAGTGGTTAAAGAGCTGGACTCTCACATAGCTGACTACAGTTCATGTCCTGGACCCAGCAGCTTGAAAGGCACACTGGGTGTGTGTGTGTGTGCCCAAGATCCTGAGAGGAGAATGGAAGAGAAGGGACTGAGGCATGGCCATCCCTCCTGGGGAAGGGTGTGATTTCCCACTTTCTGTTTCTCTTTGTCTCTCTGGTGAGTCCATGTACCCTATAGTAAAAAATTTTCAAGAAAAAAAAAACACAAAAAACAAAAATAAAAACAAAACTGTGGAGTGTGATATACCAGTATGTTCTTGGTCCAGGAAAGAACTTCCTTGCTAACCTGACTCATTAATCCAATTACAACCTTCCTGAGGACAGGAACAACAGCTCGATTTCTATGTAATCTGTCCGAATGGCTAATCCTAAGCAAACATTCAGTAAATGTTAACTGAGGGAATGGATGGAAATAAATAAGACCATCATTAAAATATACTTAGATATTTTAATGCTTCATGGTTCTTATACTTAGGAGAACCACTAATAATAAAATTCAGTTTTGTTTTTGGGTTTTACTATGTAATATCAACAAGACTTTGATTGGAGTCCGAAGCTACTGTGTATCTATGAAGCTATTTTTGTTTATATCAATAATGGCAAATTGTTTGATATATTTTTCTGTAATACCATAATAGGTCTCTTAAAAACCAATACTAAAAATAAAGATGTTTTATTGAACAAAAGACATTTGGCATATTTTTTCCCACCAAATTTTTTTTTAAGTTCAAAGTATATTAAATCATATATTTAGTAGATATACATTTTTAAATGATGGAACAGTCCAAAGTACTTTTTTTTTTTTTTGAGAGGTTTTTGCTATAGGGTGCTTGTGCTCACCAGAGAGAGAGAGACAGAAAGTGAGAAATCAGACACCAGGAACTATGGTCATGCCACAATCCCTTCTCCTCCATTCTCCTCTCAGGATCTTGGGTACACAAGCACACGTGCGCTGCGTGAGTTTAAGCCACCGGGTCCGGGACTTGAACCGCAGTCAGCTACATGGGAGTTCAGTGACATGCCATTACGCTAACTGCTGGCCCCAGTCCAAAGTACTTTATACTTAGCTATATCTGTTTATTTTCCACAGACTCTTCACACACACACCCCCCACCCACCACCACCACACACACACACAGAACAGAAGGACAAAAGAGAGAATTGGAGAGAGGAGATGGGCAGATGGAGAAATTTCTCTTTCTTAGCAAATGATAGACATGTTCTGCATTTTTAACCTCTTCAATTTACAAGCAGTAGCTTCATTAAAACAATATATTGTAGAGTAAAATTTGGTATAAAACTGGCCTGGCATAAAGGTTCGAAGCAGACTTGTAAAGATGCTTCACTGACTACCATATTCACTGACAGAGACGCTCCGACGCTCAGATTGCAGTATAGTTACGTTTTGAAACTTGCAACTGTAAAGTATCAGAAAGTGAATTGAAAACACATGATCTGACTGTCTACATAAATTCTACCCAATACTAGCCAGTAAAAATCCACATGCTTTTTAAAACTGCTTAATTCATTTTCATCCCCAACAAATTACGAGGTAGCCAGAGGTAAGTCAAACAAAAGGGGGATAATTATGAGGGCATTAGCATTTACTTTGATAATGAACACCTGTGCCATACAGTACGCCTGTAGGTCTTTGGAGGGACCATCAAGGTGTAGATGATGTTTGTAAGCCTTCTAACATAAGGATACTACAGTCTATTTTTTTTAGAGAGAGATTTTTGTTGTAGGGCATCTGCACTCACCATAAAGAGAGACAGAGACAGGGAGAGGGAAGGTGAGAAATCACATTGCAATTCCTTCCCCTCCATTCTCCTGGGATCTTGGGCAACATGCACATGCCCTTGGTGTGATTTACAAACCATCAGGTCTGGCACTCCAACCATGGTAAGCCACGCGGGAGTCTAGAAACATAACTACTGCACCGTCTGCTGGCTCCAGTCTACGCTATCCTTTACAAGACTTCAAGTATGAAGTACAGAGCTGCCTAAAAAAGAGAGGTAAGTATTAGACATGTTTTATCTCTAAGTACCAGTGTAGCTTTCTTTACTGAATAAAGAGATAGCTATAGGACCAGCAGGTGGTCTGGTGGTTAAGGTGCTGAACTCCCACATGGCCAACTGTGTTGGGAGTCCTGGATCCTATGGCTTGAAAATCATCCTGGGCATGTGTATGTCTGTGCCCCAAATCCTAAGAGGAGAAAGGAAGAGAAGGGATTATAGCATGGCCATCCCTCTTTGGAGTTGTTTTCTCACTTTCCCTCTCTCTGTCTTCAGACACATAATTAAGATGTACACCTATGACCTGTGAAGCAGTTCACTGTCTAAAAATCTCTATTCCACCAGTATGTCCAGGTTATGGCTGGAAGAGAAGGGATTCCAGGAAGCATGTGTGGGTTAATCTTTAGACATCATTCTTTTCCTCCTGACCTTATTTGTTTGAAATACATGTACTCTCTTTTAAAACTACTTATTAAACCACTGAAGTTTTTCCTTTCCAACAGAAATTTCTGCCATTTGCTAAAAAAACATTTCTGCAGAAAGGCAATGGGAAGCTCGTCAAATAAGCTTGCCCAAGTTCCTTAGTTTCATGAAGTGATTGATAAGTAGTGTTACAAATGACATTTTTAGATGCTAAGAAGGACCTTAAAGAACAACTCACTGAACTGAACATGGCAGAGAGTAATGTTTTCTTCTTGGATCGAAGAAGAATATGGTCAGTGATGCTGACCATCTGTGAGACCATTTCTGGAACAGCAGTTGCAAAGATTCCCATGGTTTAGACCAGATGCTGACTAAGAAGCTAATAAAATGTCCCATGGCCAATGTAAGTTCTGAATGTTATTGTGTGGTTATACTAGTCCGAAAGATAACTTCATCTGTTATCTCTCAAAATACTCTTTTATTCTATAAAGTAAGAGGCATTGGGTTATATATATTATATTAATAAATACCACTTTTCCCCCTCACCAGCTGTATCGATGTTTCTTATTATCATTTATGGGGACAATACTGAAATGACTAGGCTCAGTTCTTAGAGAACATTGTCTTGTAGTGAATCTAAAAGGTATGGCATTTCTTCATCATCAAAATGTCACCCATTTTTTCCCACTTCCCACACATATTGAGCACCAATAAGGTATATTACCATACAAGAACACTACTGTTACTCACTATATACCCAAACAGAATTCTCTTTGAAAACTTGCTTCCAGAATTAACATATTCTTTGGTTTAATTTAAAATTAAATAAGCAAATAAAACAAGGAGGGTCTCATGAAGACAAGAGCAATTCAAATATAAAGTGAACGAATTCTCTTCCCTCTATTTTTCCTTCCATTCTCTCCCAAATAATAGAAAAAGTGATATGTGGGTTGAGCTACCCTGGTCATAATTGAGATGCTATTTTCACCTATTAGAAAACTTGTCATAATAAACAGTGTGTTCATCATTCTTCCAGACTACCAATTAAAGCTTTTCTAGTAATAATCTATTATATAGTGAATAAACAATGCGAAAATTGCACCTTTAAATTACACTAACAGCAACAATAGACTCCTCTTAAACTTCAGAGAGGGTCTGTTAGCACTGTTGAGTAGGTTCATTCCCACTGTGTAGAGAACATTCCCGAACCGAGAAGCACATTCCGCACCGTTCAGCTATGGCTCTGAGTACGAGCGAACACATCGTTGCTGTCTTTTGGGCTCTTCGATGTGGCCTGAGTTTGTGTTTGATATGTGACATAGGAGACAGAACTTGAATCAAGGTCTATTAGTACCAGGTCCACTGAGCAGCTTCATCACAGCAGTCCCAATTCTCTGATGTTTACCAGAAGTATTGGGGGGTTGATTGGGGTGTTTTTTGAGGCACTTGGGAAAAGGCTGAATTGCACTTGGGGTCATCAAACCTCTGAGCTGTCGCTGTGGTGGTTCTGTGGGGGCATCATTGGCTCACTGCTGCCGGACCCTTTGGGGGCGTCCTTGCCCCTGCAGCTCTTCTTGCTCCTGCACATCATTGCTGCAATGGCGGCGAGGCAGATGGTGAGTAATCCCACAGCGACGCCTCCCATGACAGTGACCAGGTTGACCTCAGAGCTGGGACTGTTGAGCTCCCTAGGGAGGACGCCGTCAGCAGGGACGTTCCCGTGGGGAATTCGTCTCTTGCTGGTGCGGTCCAGGGCAATGTGCTGGATGTTTGTTCCGCGGTTGTTTTCAGCACCGATTTCCCACGCCAGTGAGGGTGTACTCCTGATCTCTCTCTTCTTCCGGCCCATCGTAGTTGCCTGGAGCTTCCCTTGACTCACCAGAGAATGGTACTGAGATTCCACACTTCTTTTGCCAATACCTCGGTTGGTGTTGTCTTTTGATCTTACTGTATAGATTGTGTGTATGTACCATTCTCGGCCCAGAGCAACCTAGAAAACATAACTCGATTAATAGGAAATTAGACACTATGTCAACCTAACTGATGACTATTTGCAAGAGAAATGAACAGCAGAGGTAATAATCAATGACAATTTAATTTAGTCTGAAAAATTAATCTACTTAATATTTTTGAGTGAGTTGTATGTGCAAAGCCTGTATAAAGTGGTCTATAAAATACTCTGTAAATTTTAAGGGAGCACATCCTGATAAATATTTGGTACTTATAGTCCTAGACTTGTGAGAGCTGTCAAGAACTTTAGATGTTACATAGTCTAGTTTATTCATTTAAAACAAGAGTGCATAAGGATACATTGCAATTAAGTGACTTGCTCAGCATTACTCAACTGGTCAGTGACAGAGGCAGGACCGCAGCTCAAAAATTTTGGAACCTCAGGAATTCTTTTTAGTATAATTTGGTGCTTATTCACATAAAGACAATATATAAAGTCAGTTTTCAGGCTTTTCCAGAGCCTGGGGAAAAAGTGATTTTCTGATGACTCTTTGAAGCACTCAGGATTTAGAAAAGTCAGATGCAAGGACAGTTAATGGTAACAATAAAAGTAAAAAATATAATTCTTCAGCTTCTGGCTTGAAAAGATTCAGAATAGCAAACCTGCTTTCTTAAGATTCTTTCCTTAGTTGAATAAGAATAACACATTTCTCCAGTCCAACCTTTCTGGGTAGTTTTCAGTAACTATACTAATGAGAGTACTTGGTCCTCCAGGGATTAACAGTACAAAGTATCTCTAAATTTGTAGTATTTGTCTGCTCAGTGGTTGATATGGTTGCTTGGGTCCTTCGTACCTTCTTTCTCTGGATCAGAATTTTCTGCTTGGTTTATGAAATCTTTTTTTTTTGAAGAGGTTTTTGCTATATGGTGTGTGCGCTCACCGGAAAGACAGAGAGAGACAGAGAGACAGAAAGCAAGAAATCACCCGCCAGGGGAAATGGCCATGTGACAATCCCTTCTCCTCCATTCTCCTCTTGGGATCTTGAGCATGCACACATGCGCGCCCGGCGTGAGTTTAAGGCACCAAGTCTGGGACTCGAACCACAGTCGACTACATGGGACTCCAGTGACATAGCCATTATGCCATCTGCTGGTCCCGGTTTATGAAATCTTTGAGAGTGAAGAGTCTGTGTGCTGTGCACGATCACTTTTCTGAACCCAGAGGTTCGCATGAGACCACTTCTATAAAGACAGTCATGGAAAGTCAATAGGAAGGTAGCTTTGAATAAGAACATCAAATTATCCAACTGGAAGATACAGATGTACATTCTGGGTTGAGTAAAAGTCTCCCTCTCAGATAGTCTTAAAATAACATTTAACATATTAATAAAAATATTAATAGCTAAAATTTATGGAATAATCACTCTGTATCCAGTATGGTGCTATGTAGTTGATATGCATTATCTTATTCAGTGTTTCCATTAACTGTATGTGATACAAATTCGGTATCCCCTATCTGAAATGCTTAGGACCAGAAGTATTTTGGATTTTTTTCAGATTTTGGAATATTTGCATATATGTAATGAGATATCTTGGGTATGAGACCTAAATCTAAATGTAAAATTCATCTATGTGTCATATGTACTATACACACAGCCTGTTTATGATATTTCTGTAGTACAGTGTTTTGGCTGTTAGCTATTGCGTGAAGGCAGATATCTAAGTTGCCATTGTGGTGGTCAAAATGTTTCAGATTAGGTAGCATTTTGGATTTTTGGATTAAGAATGTTTAACCTACCATTTATGTATGAGACATCTGAGCTATAGAAATGTTAAGTAACTTGTGTGTGATCACGTAATTATTATAAGTGAGTTTATTTTTGACCTACCTGAAAGAGTGGTGTTGAGTCAACTTTAAATCCGTCAGATCCAGGCTGATTTACTAAGAGAATGGCTTCAGGATCATCTGCTGCCAGTTTGGCATTGAATAGGACATTTCCAAAACTTGTGGCTTGTGTCAGTGGCTGAGCTTTGTCCTTTAAGCAGTAAGAAAAATGGTGATTGTTATAGATAATGACCATTTTTGCAAGGGTGACATGTTTTCCTATTAGTTCTGTGCACGTACAAATTAGCTTAAAGTGTCACCATTGGGTGTAACTTAAAATGACGATGCTGCTTTAAAAATATAAGGCAATAAATCTTAGCCCTGAGAGTCTCCCTGACACGTCGTTTGGTGAAAGCACTTACCACAATTTTAAACCTGTATAGAAGTGAAGGTGAGTCAGCTAGGCAGCCATACTCTGCATTGGTTGGACTATACTTAGGCACATAGCCATCGGCCCCAGTGCACAGGAACACCTTCTCGATGCTGCAGTAAAAGGAGTCTCCTAGATTCTGGACAGGATCTACCATGACACGACCATAGATGACATCGCCTGAAATAGAGATGTGGAAATGTCATTCCTCATATGTCATAAAACACATTAATGTGATGCTACGAAAGTTTACAACGGTGGCAGAAAGAGTATGTCCTCTTCTCTCTATCTGCCATCAAGTGACAAAGGTCATTTTGTGTTAGCTTCAAGGTCTGGTCCACGCTGAAGCTTCAGATAAGACCAACTTAGCAGACTAATCACAGTGACTGAAGATTTATTGAACCTCAGTTGCTTAGTCACTAGCGAGAAGAGTTTCAAGATCTGCCTTGTAATTTGACATTCATGACATCCCATTGTAGTCAAAGCCTAGTTTACATAAATATTTAGTTGACAAGATGTAGATTAATACAATATAAAATGACAGTAAGAAAGAAAACATTACTAGAAAGTCTAATTAGTTTTATTTGCTTTTCAAATATGGTTTAATGAATTCACTTGGTACTTCATCCATTATTTCACAGCTATTAGGGCACCCTAACATATGTAATAGGTATTTTGCTAGGTGCTGAGCATATACCATTGAACAAGACAGGCACGATCTCTAAAAGGCATTTACAATCTCATGTAGCTGTAGCATTTGAGTCTATTGAAAAATGGTAAAACAATAAAAATCTAGACTTGTTCCAAAAGCCACTTAGGTGAAGGAGATAGAGGTTCATTTGTTTGGAATAAAAAAAAACCCATCCAGTAACATATTCCCAATTTCAGTGACTCTCCACACTTGCCAAAGTGATAAAGACTTGTTTATATTCTCAAAACCACACAGAAGGGTATAATTTTCTCCTTTAAATACATTCCAATAAAGCAAAGCACAACAGATACATGTCAGAGCTTTTATTTGTAAAGTGATACCTTCTGCGAAAGCAACATCACTTTCTTGCCCAAATCCCATGGATCCATCAGACAACCAGAGACTCTTCTTGGAGAGTAGGTACATTTGGGTATTCAAGCTAAACTCAGCTGCCACTGGATCACTGACCTAAAACCAAGCATACAAACTTTTTTTTATGTATTGTTGATGGTTCTGATGGTGCACAAACATACTGTTCCCAGAGACACATAGTCACTGTACACTGACATGTACAATACTAGACATGTCCCTGCTATTTTCACAATTGGCTGAGCCAACTCAGGGAATTGTAACACTGATCTTGTGCTTTCTGAGAGGGCAAAATTGGTGGGGTTAAATCATTTTTGGAATGGGATCCCTTGAAGTCCTTCCTCTTGGTTTATCTGGGGACTTGTCACAGGCCGTGGAAGCAATATTTAGATTTAGTATATGTTCTTGAACAAAGGTGCCATCTTTTTTTTAATGATTACTGAACTTCTTTAATTTTTAAAGTTTTATTAACATATAGTAAATATACATATTTGTGGGAATGTGATTTTGCAGTTTAAGAATAAAATATGTAATGACTGAACCAGGGTAATCAGTATGCCCATCGTTTCAATCGTTGGTCCTTATTTTGTGTTGGGAACATTGAAAAATCCTCTTTTAAAGTTACTTTGAGTTGTTAACTTTATCCTCTCCACTGAATTTTAATTTATTTAATTTTATTATTTTTTTTTAAGAGAGAGATTTTTGTTATAGGGTGTGTACACTTGCTGGAGACAGAGAGACAGAAAGTGAGAAATCATCCCCCCCGGGGGGGATGGCTACACCCCAATCACTTCTCCTCCATTCTCTCAGGATTTAGGGCGCACATGCACACATACCCAATGTGAGTTTTAAGCCTCTGGGCTCAGGACTTGAACTGTGGTCAACCATATGGGAGTTCAGTTATATAATGGCTATGCCATCTGCTGGTCTCGCCCCACTGAATTTTATCTTTTTTTTTGAGAGGTTTTCGCTATAGGGCACGTGCGCTCGCCAGACAGACAGAGAGAGACAGAGAGATAGAAAGCGAGAAATCACTCCCCGGGGGGATGGTCACGCCGCAATCCCTTTTCCTCCATTCTCCTCTCGGGATCTTGGGCATACACGCACACGCGCCCGGCTTGAGTTTTAAGCCACTGGGTCCACACTGAATTTTATAACAGCAGAAATTGTTCCTCTTATCTAGCTGCAGTTTTGTACCTGGTAATCAGCATCCTTCTATTCTTCCCCGAACTTCATCTTTCCTAGTCCCTAGTGGTATTTTAATACAGTAGGTACTTTAAAGGTATTTGAGCTATAGGGTTTTCATTCTCCATGAAATTTAAGAATAAGACAGAGTGCAAAAGAATTCTGGGGAAAATTCTCAAATCTCTAAGGCAACAAAATCCATAAAGAGACAAGATCACATAAGAAAAAAAAATTCTTGCATATACTTAAACTATGGATTTTATATCTTGAACTAACAACAGATAGAAATTCTTTCTCTGTCTTTTCTCCCTTGCTTCTTTCCTGTCTGACTTCCTTTATTCTCGGCATGCAAAAATTGAAGTCGTTTATGTATACATTTTTTTTAACTGATAAAAATAAACCATAACTTTAACAAAGTAGGATTTTTACTGGTCACAGGATGAAAATGTTATGAGACACACCTGTTGAAATCGAATATCAAGGTCAAAGGTGAGAGGCTCTCTGGGGTTGCAGGTGACAGGCAGGTAGTACTCCTGACTTGATGGGGCGATGCATGGAAGCAATTTTACGGTATAGGTCCCTGAGTAGTCACGTACCTTTGAGGAGAAGAGAAGACGTACATGGATTTTATTAAAAATATGAAATGTAATCAGAAGACATCAGGAAAGGAAAACTAAACAAGAGTCTTAGTCACTTACTGCAAAGTTGGAGACGAAGGTCCATTGCTGTACTGGCTGGTTATAGGTTGGCTCACTTCTTATGAGGCGGAGGGAAAACGTCAGGCTTGGATGATCAGCTGACATGATCATTGAGTTTGTAAAGGATGCTAAAAAGGGCCAATAGTAATAATGGTATCATGGTTAAATTAAAAGAGTATAAACAGTTTAGAGGTTTCAAAGGAACTTATCATTCATTGTTTCCTTTAATTTTTATAATCAGCCTACCAAAAAGGGCAAGGTTGGAATAATTATCCCCATTTTTCAGATGAAGAAATTGGATCGAGAGTGATTACGTGACATTCCTAAGATCACATAGCTAGGACAAGTGGCTTCTCGTTTCTCATTCCATGCTTTTTTCTGCTCTATGATCTATCAATAGATAATTGCACAGAAATGCTCAAATTGTTCAGGGCTACTTTCCAGGGGTCAGAGCAGTGCAATAAAGACTGATGTGAATGAATTTATTGTGCACTGGAGCTATGAGCTGAACTTAAAATAGTCTATTCGCATCCACACAGCTGGGCAAACCCAATTTATAAATGGAATCTAATTTTAATTAGATTGCTTGCAATTCTGTCTAAACAAAGATTGTTTATTAGCAAGGTGGACATATAGAAGGGAACAATAAAGACCAGGAAATCCTTGCTCTCTAGAACTGTCAATTACAAGAAAGCAAAATGATTTGGTTTTGTATTTCTTGTAGCTCAGTCGCATGAATAATACAATGAACTCTTTCTCTTTCTAAATATTCAACTCTTTCTCTCCTTTGTTAGAGCTCAGAAAAAGAAAGAATATAGAGATGGTGAGAGAACCACATATATTCGTTTTTTAAAAAACTTTATTTATTTTACAATTATTCACTGAACATCATCTCAGCATACAAAATGCGATTTCCCATCCAGAATACACTGTATAGTGCCTTAATCATACATGTTACCATCAAAAATAATTTTCCATTTCTTGTTTCATGTATATATATATATATTTCCCCTTTTTTTCTCAGCCTCTGCCATTGTACCCTTGCTCTCTGAACTGAAATAAGTTTGCAGTCTGATAAAACATGCAAACCAGTTTGGCAAATAAGGAAAGTCAAATAACAAAGAAATAGTCTTAAACAAAATGATCTTTATTTTAAAAAGCAAACAAAATGAAACATGGGCTTTATTGACTACTGCCTTATTGATATTCAAAACACAGGTAGTAAAACTGCATAGCCAATACTTATTAAATATAATGAGTTAACATATATGGAACTTAAGTATGAAAGGGGAGTGCCATTTCTGACTTTATTATAAAGGTTTCTCATAGCATCTAGTAAAGAAGTGTAAGCAGAAGGATTTGTTGAATGAATGGCCTGGAGTTCTTTGTACAATGGAAGCAAAGCAGAGAAAGGGACTACTATTTCTATGTTCTTTACCTAAGGAAAACCCCATTTAAAACGAACTCAGTAGGGTTTCCCTTTTAAATTTACGCTAATTATTTTGCATTTTCTTTGGAAGTCTAAATAATAATAATTTTGTGGATTAGGAGATGAAGCTGAAACAAGCCCTTATGGAGATAATTACACATATATGATGCATTTGAAATTAAGGGCTTTAAAGCTAACACAAAAAAGCATGCTGAAACATGTGTGAACATTAAAAATGCCCTTTTCTGTGAGGAGTGTTTGTCAGTGGACAGTGGGGCTTACCGGGATGTGACAGCACAAACAAACCGTGGAATTGAGCCTTCGTCTTGAAGTTCACAGTCAAGCGCCCCTCTTCACCAATACGCATGCTGGTTGGATAGAGAGACCCTACAATGGGGACAGTAGAAAAATAGGTGGCCAGAGAATTAATGCATATTTATCTCATCACTAAGCATTTCAGGCAGAGTACTGTTAGAAGAATTCTAAATGAGAGGCAGAAATATCTTTGATTTCTTCCTAAGAAAGAAAGTATCTAAAAGGGAGGCAAAATCAGTGCCAGCAGTTGGCATAATGGCTATGTTGCTGGACTCCCATGGAGTCGACCATAGTTCGAGTCCCAGACCAGGTGGCTTAAACTCACGCCAGGCGCGTGTGCGTGCATGCCCAAGATCCCCAGAGGAGAACGGAGGAGAAGGGATTGTGGCGTGGCCATCCCCCCTGGGGGGTGAGTTATCGCTTTCAGTGTCTCTGTCTCTCTCTGCCTTTCTGGCGAGTACACGCACCTGATAGCAAAAACTTCTAAAAAAAAAATAAATAAAAGGGAGGCAAAATTAATTAGGCAACATGAGTGAGGTCACTACAAATCACACAGATTGATTACAATAGGATAAGATTCTAATTTTCTTTAAAGCTTTCGTCCACAGAAATAAACTATAGATTGAGAGACATGACAAATGGACTTGTCAAACTTGTGAAGACTTGATGCAGAAGTAGATATGGGATTGAGTTCTCCAGAGTGACTCTAAATGTTAAAGCCTTTAAGAAATTCTGAAGCTTTCTCAAGAAATCTAACAGGCTGACAGAACTGGCTTTAGATATAAGAAAGAAACAAGAGATCCTTATGCGGAAGTTGAGAACCACAGAACAACTCTTTGTTGAGATTCTTTGAAATATACTTCCTCTAAGGTGAGATAAGGAATTAAAACATTCTAAGTATTCAGGATGATCACCTCCCTTGCCTCATAGCTCTAAGGTCATTTTAGTCTGCTTAAGACAGTAGATTTAATGGGATGCATTATCAGCTGTATTTTCTTCTGCTAGTGAACCGCAGCATTGTGGTAAGATATTATGGACATGCATGGAACCAGAGCAATAACGTCTGCCTGGAAATCAAAAGCACTAATTCTAGGAGTGGAGTATTTAGCTTTCCACGTGTGGACTTTGAATTATGATTCTAACATGGTGACTGAAACATAGTTTGCGGATGCTGCTGGGCCCCATGCTTGGTGGCACTGAAGACCAGTGTTCCAAGATATTCATCTGCAGGATCTCAGAATACTAGAATTTTAAAATGGAAAGAGATATTAGAAATTTTGTCTATCATTCAGAGGAAATTAAGTCCCAGAAAGAAATATGGTTGAGATCACACTGCTATAGTCAGAGCTAGAATCCAGGGCACAATTTATACTGGGCTTTAAAATCCACCTCTCATTTTAAGAAACCAAATTATGTGACTTTTTTCCCCTTGAGTTCATTCTTTATTTTAAACTGGAAACTCCTCTGTTCATTTTCTAAACCCCAAAGAAATACATAAGTTGTGGAACACACAACTGATTAATTTTCTAAGGTGGACTATAAGAGTTACATAACCATGAAATGTTGGAAGTTTTACTTAACAGACACATGCAAAATTTGGAGGCATTGATGTAACTTAGTTAGAGTTAGTAACACGTAGAGTTTTTCCACACTGAAGGTGAAATGATCTTACTATTGAATAGAGAAAGAAAACATATTACAAGTTGCTTCTATTATTTTTAGCTACAGTTGAAAAAAAAACTTAAATAATTCAAATAAGTAAGAAAACAAAGTTTTCCAGGTTTTATTCACCGACCTTGGAGTTCTGCTTCTGGGGGACTGCCTATCCCATCATTCCACAAGATGGCAGTGTCATACACAAAAGTCAGACGAAGCTCAGACTTCAAGTCAAAATGCTGCCAACCGCCTACGCCCACGGGAGAATGGAACAGGTAGGACACATATAGAGGGACTCTGAGGGTCACATAAGACTGCACGAGGTTTAGGACCTGAAAGGACAAAAATTACATCAACAAGCTTCATGAGCCTAATTTTGTACAAACCAGTGTTTTCTTCCCTGTAACTGAAGATTCTGAGTAACTGTGGAGGAAAGGAAATGACATTTTATAACACCATTTCCCCTCACTTAATGTTGACTCAATTAAACAGCTGTTACTATCTTCGTTTGGAAAGAAGAATATGTACCAGAAAACTGCATTATTTTAATTGCAGTCTTTTTATTTTATAGCAGCTTTATTAAAATTTAGTGCACGTACCATATAAACCATCTCTTTAAAGTGGATGATTCAATGGCTTTTAGTATATTTAAGCAGTTTTGCACCACAATAAATTTTAGAACATTTTCATCACCTCCCAAAGCAACTTTATGGGCAGTCACTCTCTAGTCCCTTCTCTCCCCAAGTCACTGACAACCACTAGTCTACTTTATATTTCTGTATATTTGCCTATTCCAGTTGTTTCTTATAAACAGAATTAAACTATATGTGGTATTTTGTCATGGACTTCTTTCATAACGTTTTCAAGGAACATCCATGTTGTTGTGTGTTTCAATACTTCATTCTCTTTTATTACAGAATAACAGCCATTGTATACATATATTACCTTTTATTAAACCAGTCATCAGTTGATATATTTTGGGGTTGTTTCCAGTTTTTAGCTATTATAAACAATAATTCTATCAGCAACTTTTTTGTTATTTAGAGGAAGATGAAACAAAGCAGAAAAAAATCTTGAAGCAAATATGTTTAGCAAAGACCAGTAACATTTAAGATGTCTCATAATTAGTTGAAATGAAATGTGATGCTTTGAATTTTATAGTTTCTTCCTTCAGACACTTAGCAGATGTGTTGAGGGTAGTGGAGGATAAGTTAATATTTATTTATTGGGCACCTACCAAATTTCAGATGTTGTGCTAGTTTCCAAATATAAGCTATTTAATATTTTCACTCTTTACATATTATAATAATATGTATGTATGAATGGTTGGTTGGGTGGATGGATGGATGGATGAATGAGTGGATGGATAATGGGAAGAAAGAGAAGGAGATAGGAAAATTAAGGCTTAAAGAAATACAGCAAATTTCCCAAAGAATTCTTTAGACCTTCTGAATGGTCCTGCCAAGATTAGAACTCGCCTTTTGGCTCATGTTTTGTCTACTTTAACACATTTCATTGCATTCCAAAACCACAGAGGGCAGTCCTAAGATCATTTAACAAAGGATATTATATTTAACTCTTAAAAACATTTCTGTAGAATACTAGGGGAAATAAAAGGGTGCTTCAGAAAGTCTGTGGAAAAGAAACTAAAGCAGGAGTTCATTTGGTGCAAATGTTTTTTGAAATTAATAATTCGTTCGTAGTCTTATTTTTTTTCATAATACACATTTTCTACAAGTTTTCAAGATCCCTTATACAATTAACTTCTTCAACACAAGAGAAAAGGACTCAGGTCAGGTCACACTCCTTAGGTCAAGTCAGGCTATCTGACAGTGGTTTAGTTCTCCTTCCATATTGAGCTAACAACAGGACTTTTATATAAAAATTAGTTGATAGTTAAAATCATGAGAATCATAATTTATCACATTATCAGAGAGTTAAAAGTAAACTCCTCAAGTTACAAAAATAATGACCTGAATCATAAATAAAAATATAAAAACAGAGACCCATCAGCCAAAAATGTTACTTGATTTTCAGCTGCACAGGAGCTACAACTTCCCATTACCTGCTAACTTGGCTTGCAGGAGAGGCACTTTGCAATAAAAGTCCTTTGAGGCAGTCCTTTCTAATGGTGGCTATTACTACTCTCAATGAGCAATTGATCTTAAAATGCTGTGTTAACATGCTGGTAGTGAAATGGAAAATGATTAACTCAATCTATATGCCACTAGTAATTAAGATGAATATTTTGTCCTGTGACTTTAATAACCATCATTTTAAAAAACTGGCTTTAGGCATGGATTTCCAATTAACCTTTGTAGATACTAAGAATAATTTTTGCCAATATTATATGCTATCCATCAAATGTTACTGTGTGTGCTTTTTGGAGAAAATGACCAATATTCACTTCTTATGAACAAGTTACTTGGAGTATAGCTCCCTGACCAGTTCTCATTTGATTTCATTTATTTCTTGTGGTAAGCTAGAGTTCGATTATTTATGGATGGAGAATCAGCACCTTACTTTATTTTCTCATGGTCAGGTCGTTTTTTATTTCTTTCTATTTAGACTCTACAGTAGAGGAACTAAAGCCTAATGGGTCTATACCTACTACCCAGTCCAGTTACCTATTTGTTCTTCATATTACCTGTTACATAGCTCTACACTGAAGAATACATTGTGATCTGTCTCACTTTGAGATGTCATCTTATTATTTTTATTTATTTATTTAGCTATAAGGTGCATGCACTCTCTGGAGCAAACGAGGGGGAAGGTGAGAAATTACCCTCTAAGAGAGGTGGCCAAGATCCAATCCCTTCTCCTCCATTCTCCTCTCAAGATTTTGGACACCCATACACATTTGCCTGGTGTGATGTTCAAGAGGCTGGGTCCTGGACTCCAACTGCACAGTTAGCCATTTGGGATCCAGTTGCCTTAATCTCCACACCACCCTCTGGCTTGAGGTGCCATCTTAAAGACCTCTTAAATTTCCTCTAGTCTGTACCACAGGACTTTTAAAGGTATTTATTTATACTAAAAGAAATAGTTGCATCTTTAAGAAACAATACACAAAGAGTGATTTCATATGTTCTTACTGATCGAAGTTTCTTCAACAAAGGCAAACACTATTTCAAATTCCATATTTAAAGAGAAGGTATGAAATGCAAATGCCCTGGAGAAGGACACACAGTGTCAAGTTTCTATGACTGCTACTACTAAGTAAGGGACATAAAAAAGGCAGCTAATTTGTGTATCAGAAAGGCAGGGAAGGGAATGAATACAAAGAAAGATGAATGGTAAGAAAAGTTATACTCATCTAGTTTAATTTCATTGCAGTCTGAAAGTATACTTGTGCAATTTGTATGTTTTTTTTTTTTAATTTGTCAAAGAGTATTTTGTGACCTACAATGTGATTTATTTTGGTGAATATTTAGTATCAGCTCAGGAAATATATGTATTCTTATTTATTTATTTATTTATTTTTACTTTTTTGTTTTGTTTTGTTTTTGAGAGGTTTTTGCTACAGGGTACATGCGCTCGCCAGAAAGACAGAGAGACAGAAAGCGAGAAATCACCTCCCAGGGGAATGGCCACACTGCAATCCCTTCTCCTCTGTTCTCCTCTTGGGATCTTGAGCACGGACGCACATGTGCCCGGCGTGAGTTTAAGCCACCAGATCTGGGACTTACACCGCGGTGGACTACATGGGAGTCCAACAACATAGCCATTACGCCAAGTGCTGGTCCCAAGAAAGACGTGTATTCTGCTATTGTTAGATGAAGTAGTCTGTAAGTGTCAATTAGAGTCAATTGATTGATGGTGCTGATCAGCTCAATTATATCCTTACTGGTTTTCAAAAAAATAAATACGAATTATACTCATAGGATGATTTATGGCGGAAACTAGTATTGAGGAAAATTACAGTAGATTTGCCCTTCATCTATTTTGGGCATTTAGTTGTAGGTATGAACTTATATATTATCATACTGATGTTTTAAAATTCATAAATATATACACATACATCACCAGCTTCATGTATACACACACAACTGATATAACAATATGCATTAGAGTATTTATATATACACTTATAAAAACTAATCTAGATTTTTCTTATTTCTTTGCAACTTTCACTTGAGTAAGGGTATGATTTTATCTTTAGGAAACAAACTATAAAGAATGTCCAAGTCCTTCAGTATAATCAGGACTAACACCAAGTATCTAAACCCGGAGTTTAGTTTATAGTTAGCCCAATATATCAAACATAATACATTTTAATGTGTAATCAATGTAAAGTAATTTTTGATAATATTGTACTTTTTTTGGTACTAAGTCATTGAAATCTATTAGATCATTGGGTCACTGGAAAAGTCATGATGTATTTTCTATGCAAAAATATGTCATGACTTTTCCCATTACCCAATAGTACGTATTTTATATTCACAACTCACCTCATTTTTTTTTTTTAGAGAGAGATTTTTGCTATAGGGTGCGTGTGCTTGCTGGAGAAACAGAGAGAGGGAGACAGAAAGACAGAAAGCTAGAAATCACTCTTCAGGGGAATAGCTGCAAATTCTCTCTCTTCCAATTATCTCAGGATTTTGGGCATGTACACACACAACTGGCATGAGTTTTAAGCCACTGGGTCTGGGACTCAAACCATGGTTGACCACGTGGGCATCCACTGACATAACCATTATGCTATTTGCTGGTCCCAACACACCTCATTTCTGACCAGCTCTGTTTGGAGGGCTCCTTGGGCACACATGGCTGGTGGTTATCATATTAGATAGCACAGATCTGGACTCTGATATCCACGGTCTTTCAAGTAGACCACATGTATTGAAGAAAATAATCATTTAAAACTATTTACTATCATTCATAAACCCTATCTTTATTCAGGGTATGCCAATTGTGTTTATTTCAGTCTGGAAACAGCCAGAGCTGTTGGAATTTTATCAGAGGGCTAACTACTGGTGGGGATTTCCCACTGGCTGAAATATATTTCTGTTTCTTTTTGTTGTTGCCAGAAACACGTCTATGTCATCAAGATGGTGGTGTTTGTGAATGTGTGAAGGAGGCTCATTGATCTTAATAACTTGAAATCTCAGCAAAGTGTGTATCAGCTACTTAACTGAAGTCATTGCTGTAATAAATCAGAATTCTTAGCCAAGTTTTCTGAGAAGTAGCAGAGTACATCCCCAGAGACACTTGGGAGAAAGACACCTTGTCTTTTGTATAGTGACTGAGCTTTCTTTTTTTTTTTTTTTTTTTGGAGAGGTTTTTCACTATAGGGCGCGTGCGTTCGCCAAACAGACAGAGACAGACATAG